ACAACCGAACAGCATAAAAGTTGTATCAGTTACTGATCAATATAAAACTGAATAAAACTGGACCATTATTGACCAGTTTTTTTATCAGTAACTGGTACAACTGTTTCTTTTATCAGTAACTTGTTTCAATATACTGATCGTGCTGTCATCAGTTTCAATAATCAGTTATCCACCAGTTAGTGCCCAGTTTTTTTATCAGTTTTGGCTGCATTTTTTCTTAAGGGTGCTAATCTATCAAATTAATTATCCCCTATGTTGAACAGACATATGATCTTATTAAACGTCCAGTGTTTAATAAAAATATTCAAATATTTTCAACCGTTCTAAGATATTTTTAATTGATAAGTTTTTTTTCGACGAAGAAATGTATTGTCGATTACGAGTGCGGTTTCAGGGAGCGATCATTCGAACGCGCGTTCTGTTTTTTTTTTAGTAGTAATACATGAACTTGATCGTTTATACATGTATAAATGATACAGGTAATAGCAATGCCTTATACGTCAGGCTGGATCTCAGACCGGTATTCATAATCTATTCTTCAAAATCATATAATATCTTAAAATGCTAATACATTTCTGTGATTGATTATCACGAGACACGGTGGTATCTCGCGCCAAGTGTAAGCGTAGCTAGTACACGCGTGTTTATAACACATCAAAATTATACTTGGGAAGATGAATGGACTATGAAGTATGGACACTGCCCATAGGCTTAATAATATTTTACTTAGACATTTTTTCCCAACACAGAAAGCCACGTGCCGAGAACTGTCGGTCGCGACAGAGAAACGGCCCGAAGAAATAACGATGCCAAATGAAGATCCTTTAGAAACGCGTTGTAAAAAATGTATAGCGAGAAATGTCAGCCAGAATTCAAACGTCCTACTTACGTTCCAGGTACCTGTTTTTAGTATACTTTTGTAGCATGTATTTCCTGGAACGAGCAGCACGTTACACAAAACAATATGTTATTTCGTCATCGCTTCTTGTTGCGAGCAACACGATACATCGTGTTTGCGGAAGCACACCTATGACCTTTTCTCATAGTACACCTGGGATGACTTCTCCGATGTTTCCGCATTTAAGTTGGACAAGGCACTTGCCCCGGTACTCTCTGCTCGCTTTGACACTGAGCGTCCCGCGTAGATCATTTTTAATATTCCAACGTATAAACGTTTGATCCGCGCAAGAGATTACGTCGCAATTTTTCTGGACCAGCCTTGTCCACCTTCATTCGCATTCTTGCGGTTTTCGCTCACAGCGGCCCTTAATCCTGGAATCGCGCGGCGCGGTCGTTTCAGTCCCCTTGAATACTATAATCGTGAGACTCGGCGGTACATACGAAACGTGTTTTATCTCCAGCATCTCTTGCAGGATCTACGTACGATCGTATTGCGACGAGGAACCGATTAATGACCGATTTCGTCGTAGAGTCGGAGCAGCCGAAACAAGGATAGTACCTGCAAATCGTTTACGCTGCGAAGGTATCGCATGCAGCGAGATACTTATGCAAGTAGGAAATGGCGCGGGATCTAGCACCAACGGGGACGAGATAGCAGAAGAGGCAACGATCAGCGGGGTATACATAGCAGCACGCACGGCGCGAGGAAGTCGGCAGCGCGAAACCATACGTTCTTAGTATCGTAGGCTCAACTGTGCACGTCGGAAATCAGAAACCATTTCACATGAAATATTTATGGACACGCGGATGTTTATCAAATAGAAGTCCGTAGATCTGACTTAAAAAGTAGGTGGATTAGGAAAAAGTAGGTAGTAGATTCATTTTTGCGTCAGCAACGTTACATTAATAATGTATAAGTAGCGCGGAAGTTAATCTTACGAAGAAGCATTCGCCAATCTAGTCTCGTAAAAATAGTCATGTAGGAATCTCCTAGTTTTGATTAATCCTCCAATGTATCTCCTAGTTTAAATTAATTCCAAATGAGAGAGATAGAAATGAATAAACTAGTGGATCCATACGAAGAATAATTGTAAAAACTTTTTGTAATCTCCCAGTGTTCGTTCGCCAATGTATATATAAAAAGATTCCTTTTTTAATTAATTTATCGATTTTTAGTAGATTTTAGTAAAATTAAAAAACATTCATAAAATCCTTCGAAATGCCACGTTGTCCAGTGACATTTAATAAATAGTAAAAGTACAAATTAGTAAAATGACAAAAGACTCATAAAATTTCTCGTTCGTTCGCTAATATATAAAAAATATATAAAAAATATATTAAAATGTATAAAATATATATCAAAAAAGACGATTATACACGGAGAGTATTTTCTTTTAGACTTTATCCTGTGCATTTTAGTAAAGTTAGTTTTTTAGATTAAAAACATTATTTTTTAAATTAATTCATAGATTTTTAGTAAATTTCAGTAAAGTATAAAAAAAACTCTCATGAAATCCTTCGAAATGCCACGTTGCTCAGTGACATTTATTAAATAGTAAAAGTAGAAAATAATAAAATGACAAAAAGCTCTCAAAAAAATTCCTCGAAATGCCACGTTGTCCCACAACTGCCGTGCTTTTCCGGGTAAATTCTGTGAGAAAAGAAAATTCTCTCTGTGTAGGAATACGCTTGTACCATAACGAGACAATTATCATCCAATTGAAATTAAGTTTATGCGTAAATCGGCGAACCGTGGGGCAATTTTAGATATTTTATTTCGATGTTATCGGAGCGATGTGCGGAAAATTGTTACGGATCCGACGCAGGTGGTGTCGAGAATTGCTTTATGCTATCTCGGCACAGAAGTGCAAAACGCGTTAAGTGCATCGACGTTTCTTCGCGAAATCAACGGAACTGGTGGCGATTCGCTCACGATCGCTATCCGAGTCCCAGCGCGTTTCCCTTACCACCGACTCTCGATGGGCACTCGGTGGGTATCTGGTGGGCACCTGGTGGTCTCTACGAGCGGCGGCACTACATCGCACTATCTCCTCGCTTGCTATTCGAAAGATCGTGGACCGCGCGCGTACACCCAAACGTCACGTCGGGTCTTGTCTTCATCCTCGGTCCTCTCCTCGTCTTTTTCTCCTCCCTTCATCTTTTCCTTATCTTATTCTTTATTCTCTCTCTCTCTCTCTCTCTCTCTCTCTCTCTCTCTCTCTCTCTCTCCTCCTCTGTCCACGCTGTTCTCTCCCTCGGTCAGATAATCTATTCTCTCTCTTCTTCTGCTTCTTCTTCTTTTTTTGCTCTCTCTCCCTCTCTCTCTCTCTCTCTCTCTTTTCTACACTGACGAGTCGCGAATTAAAAAGGGGACATGCGATCGCCCGCCAGGATTTATTCGCGAAGACTCAACGAGTGATCTTCGCGCCGAGTGCAATCGCGAGTCTTCACTGTGATCGACACAGGCCGCTGCAGAAAACGCCTCATTTTCATCAATGAAAGAGAAAAGATAACAGCCAACGAATCTTGTGACCGTCTGCGGGAAGTGAACTTAAACAAACTTTTAATAATTACCGCGAATTTTCGGCCATTTTCAAATCATTTTCGGTCAAACGCTTTGATCAATCGATCTTGGATTTCTTGATATCCTTCGATCTTGGCGAAGTCGCTGCGTCGAAAAAGACGAGGGGGAGTTACGAAATCCCATTCGTCAATTTCAATATTCGGCGGATTCCAGTTATCCATAATTCAATGTCGGTTCTGTGGGAAGATCGAGAGTAACGGGATTTTACGTGGAGATTGAGACGTATAAGTTAAGTCTGATAGCAACATAGAGAAATCTGTCCGGTATTTCTTTCGCCGTTCTTCCCACTCTCTTTCTCGGAGAGCCCGTGAGTTACATAAAGAAGGATTTTACTGGTCAGTTAATGAACCCGGTTGTGCGTGCACTCGAGGAACATCCAACAACGACGGCGACATCGAGGACGAAAACGGCGAGGACGGCGATTGGGCTGATATTATGTAAGTAAATATGAATAATTTGTCATCTGAAAGCGACGAAGAATGTGGCCCAAGAACACGGTCGGGTAATGCCTTATTGCACGCATTGGAAAATACATAGCGAAGCGACCTACAGGAAATAAGTGTGATCGAAGAGAAGTCTATTTTTTTTATATGACGTCGAATTCCACTTCTAATTTTGGCGGTGACTTGTGGAAAGAAAGGTTAATTGGAAGATAAAACGGTTTTCGAGTTAGCGGAAGGAATAAAAGAAGGGGATAGATAAAACTAAAAAAAATTAAAATTTACATTTTTTAAAACTAATTCTAGTAGACAACATCTTAAATACCGTAAAGTTTGCGATAAAATTACTTCTCGCGTAATAAGTTTATGTACGGAGTATATCTTTTTTCATGGGGTTATCTCCTTTGCGACACTAAATATTGTTTGTTTGCACAGATTTCGCGCTGATTATATATTTACAATTACACATCAGAATATGATATATTCTTATATTAATTTGTATCTTCTGGTTCTCACAAAATGTCAACTTTTTTAAACAGTTATTCTTAAGCCTAATGAAATTTGTAGATTTTGCGAGTCTTCTAAAGGAGCTAATTTAATTTAATAGACGTAGAATATGAACACATATTGATAAAAAAATCTATGATAAAACTTGTAGTATCTATAAGAAATTAAAATTTTTAAAGTAAAATCTTCTTCTCTGCCCCTTTCTCCGTAGAGAAAGTAAGATGATAAAGGATTTGTTTAAATACATTAAAGACCACAAGTAAAAGTAAATAAATTATGTATACAAAGTCATTATACATTTATTGCTTGCTTTAAGCAAGATTATCTAATCCTCGAATCATGACGGAAAATATGTGTGATTTTATGTAACGCATTAAAATCTCAATAATGTGACCTGGATACATATAACTCGACATACTTAAGCTTGCAGCGAACAAATTAGCCATAGCAATTACGCATAATGTGTCGAGAAATCTTCCTCGCGACGTATGATTTATCGTCCGTAAAAGATCGATTATTAACATGATATTTAAAGAGTAAAGCGTATTACTTAATGTTAACGACTCCTGCAGTGAAGCTTAGACACTGACCGATTTCTCGTGTACCACTTAGAAGCGTCGCGGAAACGAGTCCTTGGAGAATAGAAACTTCGTTGACAGTTTTCAAGTTATTAGCAGGTTTCAGGTTATCAGGTTATCAGTGTCCGATATATCGTTTGCTTAGAATAGGATGGCACTTTTAGGAGTTTTCCTCACTTTAGAATACACGATCTTTCGATGCGTAGCATCGAGCTCGTCCGGAATATATTATGCCCGTTTATGAATGTAATTTGTACATTTGCAAGTCGTTGCATTTGGTTGGTCAAAAACTTGAAACCAACCGAGAAATTTCGGATATCTTTTTTACAACAATAACATTTATCTCTTTTAAAATTACAACTAATATGCGTCCGAAGAATTGATATTTTATTCAAATCGTGCGTAAAAAAAAGTTCTTCACATGGAGATTGGAATTAATTTTTTTCACAGTGATTTTTTTCCTAATTACCATTCATTTGTTAATTAACGCTTGTTCAATGAAACTTTAAGTAATATGTTATCTCTGCCAGACAATTCTTCACCGAACTACATTTTATAATATGTTTCTATCGCCTGCATGTGCTAATATAATATATTAGAGATATTTTCGTTTCATCTTTTTGCTGGAGCGTTCATTTACTACAAAGCTTAATGAACCCGGGAATATATTAATAACATATTATCGAGGAGATATTGCCAAAATTATGGTCGTAGATAAAATTTTTATCGCGCGTCTTTACTGCTGCTGAATCTCTCTCTTTCTCTCTCTCTCTCTCTCTCTCTCTCTCTCTCTCGCGAATATTAAAATGACAATTTGGTTGAGTTGTGAAAATTTAATATCAAACGTTTAGAATTGTTATTCACTAAAAATTTAACAGAAATCTTTAATTATACTTTGTCGATGGAACTTTTAAAATCTGTCACGGTACTTTCGACTTGACGATTGCACGAGTAATTCGGACGTACGTATTATTTTGTATTAAATTCAAATCGTTTATAGATTTAAAAGTATGTGTGAATTTTATTATGTTTTCCATCAACAAACTGTACTTTAAGACTGAAACGTACTCGGCGCACAGGACGTGTTGGCAACGGTATATAAACAAGTCGCACGATAAACCATAGGGCTATCCTGCACGGACCGTTCTTATTTTACATTGATTTATATTATATTTCTATTATACCGTGGTCCATGCCTTGAGTCTCCATTATTAATATTTTTGAATTTAGATTTGTTAGACATTTTGAATCGAGTCCGTTGAAACACTGAATTCGATATCGCTATATTTAGCGGTAACGCGAAACAGTTAAAATACTCTTCGTTGGATTGTCCGGCAATGCGGAACGAGTGATCATTATTTTCCTCTTTACCTTGTATTGCTTATACGTGACGTTTTGCTATGTCATTATCTGCGCGGCGAACAAGTCGTTCTCACAGCATGACTCTAGGAATCCCGACAAGTTATTCGGCGGCGGACGTTGTTTGTTAATGCAACTGTTATCATGTAGACGAGCAAATCATCGATTAACATGTTTCAAATGGCAAAATTGTATCCGACAAGAAGGTGGCACAATTTCAGCGATCTGCCGCATTCGAAATTTTGGCTAAGCGCGAGGATTATTGATGTTCAATTAATGGAGTTGGGCGGCGTTTTTCACGTTGCCGTGCAAAAACTGGAAAGTCCTTCTTCAACGACCGCCACTCTTTTCAAGAATATATTGCTCAACATAATACGGTCGGCATGGATCACATTTCGAAATTCTGAGGAACCCCGAGAAAGTAATTCAGCGTCGGCAAGGCGAAGCTTATGTGCACACGTATCGGATTACCGTGTAATCTTTGCCCAATTTTTCGCAACGAGTCCGCTCCCACCTACACCAATTTTCATTGAGCGTAAATTAACGTGATTGCCAGGCGATTACCAATATCTTAAAACGAAGAGTATACAGTAAAAGACGCGTCACATGGATACGTCAATGTATGAGGTGTTTCCGTTAATGTTTAAAAGTTTCTGCGAACAAAGGAAGTTATTATTTTCTAAGTAAACAAAATGCTACGTTCCTTTAATTTCCTCGAAGTAACATCTTTACAAAGTATGTAACGTCAATGTACATATTCGCGCCGGTGTTTTTGACGCGTGATTAGCGTTAAATATGCTGAACCGAGTAAATGGCATATGTAAATTTTATCAGCACTGAAGAACGATATGGGGCTTCGATACAAGTCTTACGTATAAAAATTTCGGATTATACGCAATAAAAAGAGATCGTCGTGAGTAGGTAATGTTGACAAAGCAAATACGACGGGTTTAAGACAAGTAGATAAATTTAAAGCAAATATTGGTACATTAAAAATGGAATAAAACGGTCAATTTATAGACTCTTTGTTTGTTAAATTTCTAAAAAGGCATTATGCATTATCTGGCTGCAATTTGAATAGCAATAGCCCCCGCTGGACTTCTAATTAGTACGTTTACACAATTGATAAGACAATAAGACTTTCACCCGCACTTCGCAGTGCGGCATTATCGGCCGCAATTAAATGCCCGGCAATATTATCTAATTAAATCGATTCAAATTATAATTACGTTTGACCAGAAAATAATCCAATTACGATTAAACTGCTAAGAGACAAAGGTCCATATTATCGTCTGAGACGTCGAAATAATAAACGCGCGATTTAAAAAACTATACGAATTTAATTTCAATAAATTTTTATTTTATTTCTCCTAGTTGTCTGGTATGAAACTGAGATTTCTCCGTTATACTTTGTATCATAAAAAGGGAATATTTTTCAAAAAGTCGACCAAACTGGCAAAAAGGTGATCTTTATTTAGTTCACAACGTTTCGACCTCTTAATCGGGTCCTTTTCAAGTGTGGTCGAGAAACAATTCAAAGCAATTGAGCCGCAATTTAAAGAAAAACAAAGGAAAGTCTATTTTTTAGTATAGTGATATATAAAGGTGAAAGTACCTATAGTTGTCGCAGCAGCGTAATTTGTTTAACCGAAACAGAATGAGTGCATGAGTCTGTGGTTGCAGATTCATAGTGTCAAACCTGGGATTACTATGGGTGAAAATAAGTAACTGGTTGTGTCGTTAGAAAATAAGTTACCGATTGTTTCGGGTAAACAAATTACGCTGCTCCGACAACTATAGGTACTTTCACCTTTATGCATCACTATACTAAAAAAATAGACTTTCCTTTGTTTCTTTTTATATTGCGGCTCAGTTGCTTTTAATTGTTTCTGGACCACACTTGAAAAGGGACCCGATTAAGTATTTTTTCATTCACATTTTTTCATCAAATCACAAGATGATTTGCTCGTCTACGTGATAAAATATCAACCCGATAAAGAGGTCGAAACGTTGTGAACGAAATAAAGATCACCTTTTCGCCAGCTTGGTCGACTTTTTGAAAAATATTCCCTTTTTGAATTAACACTGGCGACAATGAGATTCACTCACTTTGTATTATAGTTACAGTTTCATGCATGGATACGAAATGTGAAGATATTAAAGTGCGGGGGCTGGGTTCTGCAAGTCATTCGCAAGAGAAACGTACGCGCGAAGTTTCGTTCTTACAGAAGCTGCACATGCGTTTCTCTTGCGAATGAATTCAAGAATCTATCCCCGGCGTGCGATGTCAAAGGATAATCATTGTTACTTTATTAATATTGATAAAGCATATTAATGTCACCAATATATATATAGCAAAGAAACTATTTATGATGTATGAGATTTTTTTTCCTCAGGAACGAGCAATATTAAAACGCAGCGATATAATAAGATGTTTAAAAAAAACATGTAAAAACATGTTTTACTTGTCTGTTTTATAATTTACTTTGCATTCTCTCTAGTTTAATATTCTTGTCAAGAGACACGATTGTGTCTCGTGGCAAGTATAAGCGT